TTCTATTTAAAACCTAATTAAGAAAGTTTCCTGAAATATTTATTTTCCGGCTGCTGTATATTGGCAGTCTTGGGGCAATATTTCAGGTGGACAAGAGTGGACGCTACAGAGTCTGGGCCTACGCTTAGAATTCACAAAAAAAATGCTTCTGCCATGCTCTGTAGATTAAAGCCAGTCACCTCTTTCTAGAAGAAGCAAGAAATTCCCCTTCTTCGATATACATGCATAACACCTACATTCCTTCCTACCCTCCACCCACCTCCAAGTGTAACACCCTCAGTCATTGCACATGGCTTTGCACAGAACAAGCAGAATGTTTGCTTGTTAAACAACCGGCATATAGCAGTACTTCATAACATTGCTGTGGACAGTTGCTTTGGGAGAACACATCTATAAAATGCAAATAATTACTTCTCCAGGAAGTCTGTAGCTAAACCTCAATTGCACAGTGTTGTCCTTTCCCATTTCCTCCCTTCCTAGCAAAGAGGAGGTCAGGATTATCACCAAATGAAAACCAAGGGCTGCTCACCTCCAGAGAAAGCAGGAACATAGACACACCTAGCGGGGAGCTGGTGGGTCTGCCCATCACTTAGTAAGCAAGACCTTCTTTGCAGGGCAAGATGGAAGCACCCAGAAAACCCCCTTCACACACACATACTCACAGGCAGACCGGTGCTCCCGGCAGTTTCTTTGACGAATGAATGAGAAGACTTGGAACCAGACAGATGGTTTTTGAATTCCTCCTTGCCACCTGCTGGTTGTGTGACCCTGTGCATATTACATAACCCCTCCAAAGGGACAGGAGAAGGAGATGTGTTAAGAGCCTTGATCCTCCACCACTTCAGCAGTGTGTTCCCCTCCTTACCCTAGGTGAGAACACACCTGGAACAGAAACTGCATTTTCCCTTTAAAATTTCTTTTAAAAATTTCCATTTTTCATAGGCAGCCCTTAAGTGTGGTAAAAATTTCCTATGTGTGTACAGTGAAATTTCCTTCCTACCTTCCAGCCACCTAGTTCTCCCCAGAGGCAGCCTACATTTCCAGATGTGTACGTACCCTTCCAGAGTCATTCTGTGCGTGCACAAGCAAATATTTATGTCAGTACATTTAAAGGGATTATTTTGTTATTTGTACTTGTTTTCCTCTTTGACACAAACACCTGTGCGACTGTTTTGAACCTTGTTTTTTCCCTGCAATATCTTGGAGATTCTTTTTTATGTCTGCATGTGAGCACCCTTAATCTTTTTATAGCTTTAGAGTATTTCACTGTAGATATGTACCATAATTTGTTTCTTCTACTCCACTGATGAATTATTTAGGTCATTTACAGATTTTTGCTGTGATAACCCATGTCATAATGAACATTCTTATACATCTGTTACTTTGCGTATGGATGAGTATATTTGTAGAATAAATTTCTAAAAGAGGAATGGCTGGATCAGAAGATGTGTGGTGAGGATATGTGCATAATTTTGATAGATTTGGTCAAGTGTTTCTCATAGAATTTGTACTAATTACTATCCCATCAGCAATGTGTGTGAAAGAGCTGAGTTTCTAAGCCTGTGTGGGCCCTGATACCTCAGAGACTGAGCACCAAGTCTTATGTTTGCCAAAACAGTTCTGTTTCTATCATGTGTGTGCACGCACGTGTGCATGTATGTGTGCAAGAGAAGGAGGGAGAGGGTAGAGAGAGAGAGAGATTGACTGATTGATTTCATTTGAAGAAAGTTATTTTGGCTAAGTGGTTAGGAGAGGCTTGAGAACCATGATGTGGGGAATCATCACTGTTCCTTCTCTTAGCCCTCTAGTTTGATTGCTCCACACCCTACAGAAAGACCCTTAGGCAGGAAGTTTGTGGAGAGAATGATTCAAGTGGTAGCTGGAAAGATGGAAAGATTTCTAGGAAGTAGGAGTAGAGGCCAAGGTATAAGGGGATGAGATTTAGTCTTATAATTCCCAAAGTAAGCTAGTGTTCTCCAGAAGGTCAGCTCATTTGAGCCAACTTTCAGGGCTTGTCATGTCCCAAACCCTGTACTAGTGCTGGGACCCAGAGATGAGCATGGCCGGTCCCTGCCTCAAGAAGCTCGTACAGAAAAGTCCAATATGTAGGCAGACAAGGTCTATGCAATGTCATAGAAGCAACAGCAGTGATGACAGCTAATTCTAAGAGCTTATTGAATGCCAGACAGTGGTGTTCATCAGTGCTCATCATCTCACCTAATTTTACAAAAACCCTGTGAGAGATTACAGTGTTATCCCCATTTTCTCAGATGAGGGAACCAAGACCCTGAGATGTGGTGGGCGGGGGGGGTGCTCCCAGTACCACATAGTAAGCAGCAAAGCCAGGTTTTAGATTGAGGGCTGCCTCACCTCAGAGTCTTAAGAGGAAGCAGGAGTGATGTTGGAACTAAAATCCCATATCTGTCCTCTGTGAAAGGTTTTCTGCTTCCTTCTCTTTTCATAGCACCACATTGCTTTTCAGGGTGAGGGTAGGGGGTCAGGAAGACCTTTGGAGGTGGCTGTGCCCAGAGCTGAGGCTTGAAGGTTGATTGGCAGCAAGGAGAGCTTTGCAAGCAGAGAAGCTCTTGGGCTGATCCTAAGGAGAGCCAGCCGCCAGGAGTCAGGAAGTTTCTGACCCAGGGAGGCAGGTGAGTGGAGTGGATAAGAGGGCATTCTCTAGAGCCAGATTGCCTGATTTCAAATCCTACCTCTGCCTCTTATTGGCTGAGTGACTTTGGGCACATCACTTAACCTGCCTGATTTGTTACCTGTAGGGCAGGGCCATAAAGTACTTAATCTCCTGGGTTATTGTGAGGATTGAATGAGCTCACATATCTGAAGTGCTTAGAATAGCACCTGGCACATGCTCTATATGTTTGGTTTGTTCCCACTATAGAATCTCCAGGCTCCAGGTAACATCATAGATGTGAGGAAGGGGCAAACACAATTTCGAAGCTTGTCGGTACGACTTATTATAAGAACTATTACATGAGCTCACGAAACGTAGCCGTGGTGCTGTAAAAGGAGGAGGAATCGGAAACCATGCAGTGGAGGAGGGGCCTGGGCTTTGAGCCTGGGATTGTCTTGTCAAGCCTGGCTGCGCTTATCAGCTCTCAGTTATGATCGGAAGTCCTGAGTCGAAATGGGCTTTTTCATTTGTTGTCTCTTTCTTTATGACATCTTTATTTGGTGTTAAATTGCAATAGTCTGTCTCAAATAAGGTGAAAAGCACAGGAGGATAAAATAAAAGGAACTCTCTTTGATGCCATCACATGTTTTCGGAAAACCCTAGCGAAACTAAAATAAAGGCCGCAGCTTCCTCATTCACCCCCATAGCATTGATCTCTCATCCGTCAAGTCGAATTGCTTTTTTCTGAGGACGGTATTCCATAACAATTCAAGAGAAGTAAAAGCGAGAGGAAAATACTTCTCTAAGGAATCGGTTCACGTATTTACGTTTTGTCTTCATATTCTCTGGTCTTTCTCTCCTTTATATGTTATTCCAAACTCGCATTCCCAGTTCTGTTTCCAAACCAAACCCCGTACCTAAGCTACCCTTTCTCTAAGCCAGTTTTTCTCTTCCTGCCATTATTTAAACAGTTCTTGAAAATCTGTCTTCTTGAAGAAAAATGTTTAAAAGCAATTTTTCCAACAGAAACCCCCCACGACCCTCACTTACAGCTATTCAAAAACCGGTACCTGTACTGTGTGCCAGCCACTTTCTAGATCCTGAGGCTACAGAAATTATGACGATTCAGCCTTTTGTCCTGAATGAGTCCACATACTTGTGTGGGAGAGAGCCATGTAAACAAAATTCGATTCTGCCCACCTCTGCCCTGCAATCATGTTAATTTCCTTTATGGTTTGTCTTCCCACTAGCCTGTAAGCCTCTCAAGGACAAAGATAATCAGTACTTTACAGAGTGCCCTCAATAAACATTTGCTGAGTGAATGAATGAAAACAAACAAATGACAGTACAGGACGATCAATAAATTAGTATGTTTTCAAGGTAAGGAAAAGCTCAGAGGAGAGAGTCCTAAATTCTTTTGGAGGCAGGAGTGCAGTTAGCGGGGGGACTTAACTGAGGGAGGTGACTACTGAGTTGGATTTTGAGGATGAGGGCTACTGGCATTGCTACGCTTTGCATGGTGTCCAACTTATATAAAGTACCCGCTGCTGAGTTAAACTTTATAATTTATGAAGCAATTACACTTTCATATATCTAATATTCTGCTATTTAATACATTCCTAGGAAGGGAAAACATGTGTATGTCATGCTGGATTATATGGTCCTGGAAGTTCTGTCACCTGGAAAACTGCTCAGGAGCATAGGAACATCTACTGGAAAACCCAGTGTCAGGATGTGTGTGTGTCTGAGTCTCATGAGAAAGTTCGAAGGCTGAGTGAGTCTCTGAGTGAGAAAACAATCTTAAGCATATGCTTTAGAAAAGGGACCCCATCCAGGAGAGAATATGGGAAAGGAGTGGACAGCGGTGATTTCTGGAACTCCTCTCTCACCTCACCCCTGAGCCAGACCAGAGTTCATTCCCTAACTCCTGTATCCACCAGGCCAGCCCATTTCGGATAATAAAATTCCTGAAAAATCAGATGGTTATGACATGGGAGGGGATGGGGTAGAAGAGAAGAGGTAAAAACAAAATGAATTTTAAATTGAGTTGATCTAATGACCTTACTGAGGGAAAAAAGATATGAAGCCTAGACTTGCTATTAGTTTAGTTTAAGGTTTCTTAATGTTGTTTAGCTCTAGATCTTTTCTGACATAACGATGTGGGTACTCAGGATGCTGAGAACCAAAACTACTGAGATTCGTGAGCCTCCTGCCCTTGGTGTGACCTCTGGGCTCGCTCCTGCTGCGATACACTTAACCTCTCTAGGCCTGATGGAAGACACCTCTCTATGAGTAACACCGAATTGTATCAAAAATTTGATCCCTCACCTCCAATTAATCCTCAACTTGTGTTTTCAATGTGTGTGTGCAGCTTCATCATACACAACAAAGACACTTTCTTCAACAATGCCACAAGAAGTAGAATTGTACATCATATTTTACAAAGAATAAAGTATGAAGAAGGAAAAAACAAAATTGGTAAGTAGTGTGTTAGTATAACAAGTTACATTTGATTTGGGGTGGGGAGGTGGTTACAGACTTTTCCTTCGGTTGTATTAAGTTTATATCCATCCTAGAAATGTTTTATCTTTTATAAGACCTCTAACTTTACCCTTGATGTATTACACACAAGTGTAAAATCTCAATAGCATCCTCAGATCTCTATTTTAAATAGCATGTTATCTTATGGATCATAGATCAATATTTATGGAACACCCATTTTGTGCCAGGCACTGGACTGCGTGTTGGGGAGATGAGCACAGTTCTTTCCTGGAGCTTATGTTCAAGAAGTTAAAAGCAGACAATAAATAATTAAATATAATAAGTAACACGAAGAAACTGAAATGGACGATGTTACAGAGATAGACTGGGAAAGGATGGGGGTGAATTCAAGCAGAGGTGGAATGGTCAGGGAAAGCTTCTCAGAGAAACCGAAACTCGAACTGAGGCGTAACAAGAGGGGCTAGTGTGGGAAGAAGGAGGGAGAGGTGTTCCAGGTAGGGGGAGCTCCAAGTGCAGACATGAGCTGTCACACATAAGTAAACGCTCCAAATAATCACCTCCTCCATTAAATAGCCTTTGCGATTTATATTTTGGGCATTTTTTTGTGAGAACCTTTGCATATTATATTACCAAATTTCCTGCTTTGTTAAACAGATTATTATATATCAGGAAGATTTGGGTGGTTTTGTCCTTATCTCTGTCCCAGCAAGATTTTTATTATTACTTTGAATAATGACCTATATCAGTCAAGGTCTAATCAGGAGATAAAAATTCCACATAATTTGAAGAAGGAAACTTTAATATAAAAAATTAACTGCGTCAGAGGATTGGAGTAATGAACGATTGGCTAGTAAAGAATAAGAAACAAACAGAGACTAGTGGTTACCAGAGGACTAGAGACTAGTGGTTACTAGTGGGGTGGGGGAGGAGGTAGACGGAGTAAAGGGGGGTCAAATATAAGGGGGTAGGAGGAGGGTGAAGTGGGTAAAGGGGATCAAATATATGGTAGCTGAAGGATGCTGGACTTTGGGTGGTGAACACAATAAAATATACAGATGTCAAATGATAATGTACACCTAAAAATTGTATGATTGTATTAACCAATGTTACCCCAATAAACTTAACTTTAAAAAAAATGAAGAAGAAGAATAGAGGAATAGCAGATATAGCAGCAGCTACCAGCCTTAGAAAGGCTCCCCCAGACAACGCTGAGATCCAGACCCTGTCGGGAGGGGTGCAGCTGTGCTTCCCTGGGCACCAGAGCAGTTGGCTGGGGGTTTGTGCAAGTAGGACTTTTTGGGAATCTGCCCTCTCAAGTACTGGGGGAATCTGCCTGGAGGAGCTCCAAGGAAGCTATTCATTGCACCAGCAGTGCTACTCTCTGAGGCTGTTCAAGGGATTACCAACCCGTGGGGAGGTGCCATGCGCCGCTTGCCATCATGCACCGCAGGAGCTGGGTGCCTAGAAGCCACGTGTTTGCAGAAGCCTGCTGAGAGTAGCATACTGCAACCAAAAAGACAAACTCCTTCCTCCTCCAGTGTCCCTCCAGTGCATTCTCCTGACAAAATCTAACATCGTACTATCTTGCAAAGGAGAAATGTTTACAAGGTTCAGCTCCATTATTGCAAAGCAGGCGATAAAAGTACATTTGGAGCAAAGGGGCCATAAATCGATAAGCGGCATGTAGCCTAAACAACGTGCTCTTCAGGCTTTCAGGTAGGGTGGAGACAAGTGAGGCATCAAATATGTTAGTCCTAGGAGTCAGGAGCCTGAATGATCTCAGTGGTCTGGAAATCCCAGCTGAATCCAACAAGATGCCATTTATTAGTTTGTAAATGTAAAGTCTTACATTCAGATTCACCAAAGCGACTGCCCTGGTGTGGTGTAGGAGAAATGTTGCTCAACATCAGGAGAGGAACAGACTTCAGAAGTTTAGTTGAGTGCAAGCTCAGCATGAGTCACTACTATGGTGAAGCTGCCAGAAACTATTTTGATCCCAAGACGCATAGATTAAAGTATAAAAAGAAGAAACAGATAGCTACCTAGTCCGAGCTAAGTACACCTGGAATAATATGTTCATTGAGAGTCAAAGTAAATGAGTATGGTAAAATTGAACTTGATTTAGGTCTGTTTTAACTTCAGTAGGATTGTGGGTTAGCACACTCTAGTATTCTCTGCAGCAGTCATCCATCCTGGAGACACATCCTCTCTATAAAGTCCTCCATGACCATTCTAGCTTGAAGGAATTCGTCCCTCCTCTGAATTCATATGGCAAATATTTTTGGAGTGTTTATTTGATAATTAATCATTTATATTCTTTTCAGTGGCATTGTGAAAATTATACCACCTAACGAGAACCACCATTAACATTTATTTTGGTGTACTAAATAATTTAAATATTATGTTATTACTTTTTAAAATATTTATCCCCTATTTGGTCCATGTGATTTTTTTCAAACAAACCTAGAATGTGCTACACTTACTTTTTATTATGCTTTTCTTCAGTTAACATTGCATCATGAACATACTAGAAAACAAGAGAGTACAAGCGAAATGATTATGGCAGTAGTTATTCCGGATTATTTCATAAAATGCAAATAATTTTTAAAAACAATGCCTTGGCTAATATTGGTATTATAGTTTGCAGCACATCTTATAAGTTACTATAACACATTAGTGTATTGAGAATCTTCAGATGATGATAAGCTCCTTAATTGTAAATAAGTTCCTTTTTTCATCTTTGTATCATCATTGTCCAGCACAGTAACGGGCATCTAGTAGGAGTGTTTGTTGAACTGAATTGAAAACCTTTTAAACATGATCAACGTCTAACCATAGCATTCTTACACAGTCAAAAACTGTGTATAATGAGGCCAAACAGCAGTTATTGTTCTTAACTTTTTATCTCAAAATGTGGACTATTTGTACAAGTAGTCAAGATGGAGACAAAGAAGGGGCAGAAACAATGATTTTTAAATGTACTGAAGGAACACGGAAAGTGCATATTATGTTACTGTAAGAATGAAATTTTTTTACTAGTTCTCCAATTCGAGAATTCTATTCAGGAACCCCAGTGGTTTGAAAATTGGTAATGATGAACTGGAAAAGTATCCAATTAGCAATAACTAATTACAGAGTAAACTATTAACCCAAGATCAGGCATTATGCTGCAGAATAGGGAGTTAAACTACAAATGCTCTGTTGACATCTTTGGTTTCGTAAATAAAAGAACATGTTAGAAGAAAATTTATTGATAGAATTTATGTTTATTCAATATTACTTTCTGCCTGGAACTTTTTCTGAAAGTGGCATTTTGCATGAGCCAACATTGATTAGAGATAAGACAAAAATACTGATTTGTAGACATGATTGATGAGTATTTCAATGGAGTGTAAATTACCACTATCTATGTAAGTTTTTCGACTTCACTCTGAATTTATTACAACTGTGAAAGTCAAAGAGCTATTGAAATCTGTTTTCAAAATAGAGCAATTAATAGATCAACAAAGATTTATTTAACAATATAAATGCATAAAATAAATCTTGAAATTGATTTGTCTTTTCATAATTGATGCTTAGACAGGGAAGTTAGTAAACCGATAGACTTCAGATGTTCAGTACTTTCTCTCTTTGCAGGACTTTGGTAAACTATTAAAAACTTGCAAAGGTCATCATCAGAGTTTCTTATTAGGCCTCTGCGAATTGTATTTTTTCTACTATCTGGAATGTTTGAAAGCTATTGATAAGATATGTGGATTTCTTAGTAGAGAATCCAGGAAATCAAAGCTTTCTGTATAATTATTCATTCATTACAAAAGTATTTATTGAAGGCCTCCTGTATGCTAGACAAAATACAAAGCCCTGTGGATATTATTATTTCAGATGCTTTTCTTAGACATTTAGTGTTAATGTCAATCATCTTAAAACACATTACTGTATTACTATGATTCTAATTACTTAAACATTGATTATACTCGAATCAGTGCATGTTCCATTTTCCAGATAAGCTAAGCCTCTGGACTCTGGTTCTAAGCATAGAGAGCATTACTTTATAAACCACTTGAGAGATATTCTTCTAGTCATCCTTTTCGAGGTATATTTCAGGAAGCAGCATAATACTTTTTAAAATAATTTTTCATTTTTCACTTATAGTTGACATACAATATTATATTAGTTTAGGTGTACAGTGTAATGATTAGAAGTGATTACTTCAATAAATCTAGTACCCATCTGACACCATACATAGTTATTATATTATTATCGACTGTATTCCCTATGTTGTACTTTATATCCATGTGACTGTTTCGTAACTACCAATTTGTACCTCTTAATCTCTTCCCCTCTTCACTCACCCCACTAACCCCCTGCCCAAGTAGCATAATTCTTGATGAAAGGAACTTTAAAGATCAACACAGTAAAATGTCCACTTCTGGCCAAGATAGAGTAAGAAGCACAAGATTTACTCTCCTACCTGAAGCAATCAAAAAAGGAAAAACAAAAATATATATGATATAACCTATATATAGTCCTATATAGCAAAAAAAAAAAATGAATTTTTACTTTAAAATCTCACACACACAAAAAAATTCCAGGCCCAGATTACTTCACTGGTGAATTCTACCAGGCATTCAGGAAAGAAGTAATGCCAATTCTACAAGTCTTTAACAAAACTGAGGAGTAGAGAATACTTTCCATCCTATTCTATTAGGGTAATATTACCCAGGTTCCAAAACCAGGCAAAGACAATACTAGAAAAAGAAAACTATATAATCTATATTCTTCATGAATATAGATGCAAATATTATAAACAAAGTTTAGCAAATAAAACCTAACAATATATAAAAAGAATAATACATCATGAATAGATAGAGTGTATCCAGGATTGCAAGGTTGGCTTCATATTTGAAAATCAATCAATATAATTCACCATGTTAGCAAAGTAAAAAAGGAACACCATATGATCATCTCTATACACACAGAAAAGCATTTAAGAAAATCCTACATCCATTCCTGATAAAAATTCAGCAAACTACAAATAGGAACTTCCTCAGACTCATATAGTGCATCTTTTCCAGATTGGAAAAGAAGTAAAACTATCTATATTCTTAGATGACTTGAACATTTATATAGAAACTCCAATGGAATCCATTAAAAGTCTAGCATTGTTACAGGAAATAAGATTGATATACAAAACTCAGTTGTATTTCTATAAACCAACAACAAATAGTGAGGAATTGAAATTTTAAAGTTGATACTGTTTACAATAGCTTCAAAATGTGAAATATTTATCTGACAAAAGCTATATAAGACAGGTACAACAAAATTTACAAAACATTGCTGAAATTTAAGATCTAAATAAATTCAGAGATGTATCCTATTCACAGACTGGAAAACTCGTTATTGTTAAGATGTGAATTCTTCCTAATTTAATCTATAGATTCAATGCAATCTCAAACTTCTAAGGGTTTGTGTATGTGTGTGTGTGGAGAAGGAGAATGACAAACTGATTCAAAATTTATAGGAAAATGAAAGGACCTAGGATAACTAAAATAACTTTGAAAAAAAATGCAAATTGAGAGCTAAAGTATTAGCTACCTGATTTCAAGAATTACTATTAACCTACAGTAATCAAGAGAGTATGGTATTGGTATAAAGATAGATAAGTCGAACAGAATAGAGAATCCAGAAGTGGAATCATAGATATATTATATTATAATATAATATATATAATAGATTTTTTATACATTCATTGTGTGACAATAGATTTTTGACAGAGGTTCAAAGGCAATTCAGTAGATAAAGGATTATCTTTTCAACAAACATGCTGGAACACTCATGCAAAAAATGAACCTAAACTCATATGCAAAAATAAACTCAAATGTATCATAGATCTAAATATAAAACCTAAAACCATAAAAATTCTAAGAGGAAATCTTTGTGACCTTGGGTTAGTTGGGGAATTCTTAAATATAATATGAAAAAGCACAATTCATAAAAGAAAAAAATGGATAAATTGGACTTAACAAAATGAAAACTTCTGCCTTTTTAAATATATTTTTAAGAGAATGAGAAAGAAGGGCCACATACTGGGAGGGAACATTTTCAAAATGTGTCTAATGAAAGACATCTAGAATATATAAAGAACACTTATAACTCAATAATAAAAAAAATTCACAGATATAACATTTGAACAAACATTTTATAAGAGAAGATACACAGATAGCAAATAAGCATATGAGATTTCAGCACCATTATTAGGAAAATAAAAACCCTAAAATATGAGATACCTACATGCCTATTAGAATAGCTGAAATTAAAGACTGACTATACAAAGTATTGGCAAGGATGTGGAGGAACTTGAACTCTCATACACTGCTGATGGATGTGTATAATTTTAGAAACACATCAGAAGCAGTTTGGCAGTTTCCCAAAAAGTTAAACATATGTCTACCATGTGATCATTTCACTTCTAACTATTAACCCAAAAGAAAGGAAAGCAGCTATCCATACAAAGACTTACTCACAAAGGCTCATAGCAGCATTATTTGTAATAGCTCAGGACTGGAAACAACCCAGATGTCTATCTTTAGGGGGCTAGATAAACAGTTACATATCCATAGGATGGAGGAGTACTCAGTAATAAAAATTAAAGAGCTCCCATATGAATGAATCTCAAAATGATTATGCTGAGTGAAAGAAGTACTGTATCATTCCATTTATATAAAACTCTAGAAAATGCAATCTAATTGATAGTGACAGAACGCAAATGAGCATCTGTCTTGGAGATGCCATGGAAAGAATGGCAGATTACAGAGTGGCGTGATAAAACTTTGGGGATAGTGGATATGTTTAATATCTTGGTTGTGCTGATGGTTTCATGGGTATATACAGAAGTCAAAACTTCTCAAATCATATGTCTTAAACCTATGCCATTTAATGTATACCAGTTATCTCAGTAAAGCTATTTGAAAGAAACACATATCCAACAAACCTCTCCCATTTTATGAATGAGAAAACTGATGCCTGAAGACAGAACTTTTCCAAAGTCACACCAGTCGTCCAACACAGAGGAGTTAGACTTGTCCATATTGAAGCTTCTTGATGAAAATAAAGAGATCCTGGTGGAAAGTCATGTTTTTGATATAATAAATTCATCCATTTCTCTCAGTACATTCCAGTCCCTGTGCCAAGTACTATACCAGGTGTACTTCATTGTTTTCTGTTTGAAACCTGATTTCTCAGCCCTCTATTCCAATTTCGTAGCAGATAGCAAAAAACTTTCTAAACTGTCGATGTCCCCAAGAGGGTTTAAATCAGTTTCCAAAACCTAGATTGTTTTGTCCAAAAAGTATCACCCTTATGTTAGCCTTGAACATTGTGAGAGCTGAAACTCTCTGTTAATTCAGATTGGACTTTGTTGTTGTTTTAGGTCTGAATCGTTTGCTTACCAATGGCTCCTATGAAGCTGCTTTTCCTTTACACGAGGTATTGTCCTGCCTTTTCTCCTTCTCTGTCAATTTCTTGTTCGGCTTCTGGGTATAATCATTAATCGAGTTTGTTGATATGACATTTGTTCAGAATGAAATTAATTTGTTCAGTAGACAGTTAGTGCTAGCCTACTCTCATGGCGATGTCCCTCCCCTAGCATAGATATATTTCTGTGTGTCTTTTTATGTAATTGTGAGAATACTTGAATCAGGAATCACTCAGTATCAATTCAGAGGAATAGCTGAGGGACTCCAAGTTGTAAAATTAGAGAGGCATTGAAAATTTTCATGAGGTAACAGACCCAGGGGGAAAAAGTTCCTGAAATGTATAGTCTCTGCAACAAAGAAATATATAACTATGCTTTAAAGAGTGGGAGGAAGCCATCCTAAAAAGTCTCTGGCAACCAAAGGTGATAAATGGAAATTAATAGTATCGTATCATTGCTCATTTAGGATATGTAAATTTTGACTTTTTAAAACATTTATCTTTTTCTTTCTTTTTCTTACTTACTGTGTACTCTTTGTCATATATAAGTACTTTTGTAAATGTAACTGTGATTACCCTTACCTCTATTTCCCCATTAGATTTTGGTTTATTTTGCCCAGAATGTTCTTCACATGTGGGTTTTTCAGGGACAGAATTCTCATTTTTGGTCAGAGATTATTATCTTCTTCATAGTATTGAGCACCTACTCTATACTGGTCACTGTGTGACATAGAGAATAAAAACGTAAATATCATAGTCTATGCCCTCTAGTACCTCAAAACTAGCCAGGGAAACTACTCTTAGAGTGATTTTCAGAACAGTCTTCTATTAGAAACAATGTTAACAGTTTGCCAATAAACTTTGGGGAACAATACCAAGTGTCCCAAAATGGCAAATCTTTTCATTTGGCTTATGAAAGCATTTCTTCCCTTGATTTCAAACATCATGAGGATGTAAAAGATGATGGCAAATTTTTAAAAACTTTTTCATGAAGAAAACTAGAAGCTTCGGTCTAAGACCCTATTTACAATCTGCCAAGAAACATTTTTGGAACGATCCTTTCAGTGTCACAGAAGCAAACATTTTGACGCAAAGGTGTTCTAGAGCCACACTCAGGTGTTTCTGAACTCTAAAGACAGATTTCTTTCCAAAACATCATGTGGCTTCCTGTAGTTGTCAATTGGCATTGCTCAAAAAAGAGTTTGAACAGGCATTGCACCCTCCCACTGCCCAACCCTCGCTCATGGTAAGGGCGGTATCTGACCCATGGTAGTGGGCGGAAGTGTCTGTGTAGGCAAATGGGTGGCAGGCGTGAGGGTGTCTGAGGAGATGCAGCTGTGAAACCATACAGAGTAACTCAAGAGAATGTCCAAATTAGCAACGGCTGCAATAACAATTGCTCTTTGGACTTTTTACTCAGTTTAACTTGATTATATTATTTAACCTCATAACAGCCTTCAGAGGCAGGAAGGGCAGATTTTGTTGCCCTTGTTTTATTGAAACTATTCAAACTATTCAAAATTTAAATCATTCCGAGAAAGGTTGGCTCACCTCTAGTCACACATCGGTGGTTAAGCTGAGAGTAGAACCCGAGTTTCTTGTCTCTTACCCCTGTTCACTATCCACTAAAGGTTAATGTCAGCAATTACTTCACCTGCAGAAAGTACCTTTTCTGTTTGTGAAACTAGCATTGCCATTAACTGAACTCAGAAAACTCCCCACTTCTCTGGCCCTTGGTCTCCCATCTGTTCAGCGAGGAGGTAGAATTAGTTTTGAATTATTCTCATTTCGTGGTGACTTCCAGGGTTTTCTTATAGATAAGGCCATGTGACAGGGTTACAGCTATGGCTATTTACCAACTACCCTGTCTTGATACAAGTAGGAAAGAGAACTAGTAAGTCTTGGGCCTGGCCTCTGGGCAAGACACTTTATTCATTCAAACCACAGAAGAAACATAATAAGGCAGCTATTATTAGTTTCATTATGAACTAGGAATCCAAGGCTCAGAGAGTTTCAGGCCTCCTTGCTAAAAAGTAGCAGAACTGGATTTGAACTCAGTTTAAACCTGTCTAATTCTAGCAAACACGTGCTTTTTACTACATAGCATCATCAATAAGATAAAGTCCAAAATAACTAATCGAACTCCTTTCCCTTCAGTAGTATGGACCCACTTTTTCTCATATCACGTGTCTTGCTACTCCTGCCATAAGAGACTAGTGTTAGCTTTCCTTCTGGCGTTTGTGCGTATTACCTCACCAGCAGTGGTGTTTTCATCCCAGGGGAGTTACAGAAGTAAAAACTCCATTAGGACCCATGGAGCGGAAAACCACCGACATCTGCTCTATGAGTGCTGGGCCTCCTGGGGCGTGTGGTATAAATACCAGCCTTTGGATCTTGTAAGGTGAGTTTTTTACCGGCTGCACATATAAAGCTGAAACAAAATGATCAGAGCAGATTGCCTGCTGGGAGAAGAAAAAACAGTCTGAGGGACACAGCTCTCGCTCAAATCTGGCTTCTTCCCACGAAGGCAGCTCGTCAGAGGACATAGGTCATTCATGGTAAACCAGACCGCCCTCTGATGAAGATGGCGTTTCTTCTAAAAAGACCTTAGGAAGGGATTCATGAGATCAGCCAGGTCTCCCACAGGATTCCATACATAGCAGGTCGCACATGTGACTGCTAATGACAAATTATCAGTAACAATCGTAGAGAGGTAACACTGCCTACATATATTAGTGACAAATGGAATATTAGTTACTATTATATAAGTAGGAAATATGAAGAGCTGTCATTCTAATAAATCTCCGGCTTATTTTAAGTTTTATTTTAAATTAACAATCTTTAAAGATTATTTTAATTCTGCACGTCAAAAAAGTATATCAACTTATTTAACCTATGATAATCGCACAGTGAAAATATATGTTTTTTAACTGTATATGCCCAACTTTCTGCCATGGCAGCATTATGCTCTAATATCTCATTATTTATTTAGAGACAGGTTTTATTAAGACTAGGTAGCAGCAATCCACACTTCATGGATTTCTTATTAAAGAGAAACTCATGTCTCATTTCCTAGACTAGATGTATATGTTTCAGTTTTACGGGGGCCCTCAAAAAATGAGTCCAGAGGAAAATGAAATAATAAGACAACTCACTTTATGTTTCATCTCTCTGGGTAGTCATTCTTCCTGCCAGAGTCCTTGTTACCAAATGTTGACTCCTGTTGACCTAAGAACATTGATGAATCATGTCATTTTTTGTGTTGTTAACAAACGATGCAGATGATTTGGGTGAGAGGAAAACATTTTCTGAGATGAGATCATTTTCCTTTGACCAGTCTCAATATATGATAAAACAGTGGGGAGAAAATAAATAAATTCTCTTCCCAGCCACAGTCCCGTATTACAGGATTACATTGATTAAAAATTACAGAAAATTGCTGCAGGCAAAACATCTATGCCCATGACGGTGTTTTGATTAAGACTTTGCAGTTTGTCAGTTAGTGTTAATTGACTGCCCATTGTGTTTCTAGTATGATGCTAAGTACGATTGGCAAAGACACACAGAAGCCATAGTCTCTGGCTTTAAGAAACTCAGTGTCCCTGAGGAAAATGAGCCCTTCAGTACTTGAGACAACTGTAAAACAATCTAAGACTAAGCACAGTTAGGTAAAATGTCTGATGGAGGTGATAAGTTTTACAACAATTCAGAAAAACCAGGATGAATGTGGGCCAGTGCCTCTGTGGAAGGCTCTGTAGAGCTGAGCCCTGGAAGAGCTCAGCAGTGGCATTGATTTTGGCCAAAGTGAAGGGAGATGAAAAGCACAAGTTAGCTTTGGGTGGGATAAAGTTCTGGAGCATCCAGGGAATCTCATCTCTGAAATCGTTTTTGTCCTATAGATTTTGCTTCCTCTATATCTCTTGAATCTGGACACACCCAGCATCTCTTCCACCACACTCCTTCTGTCCCCTCTAACCTAGACTATGGCTCTTGTCCCCTACTTGGTCTCCCGTTTCCCACCCTGATCCCTTCCAGTCCATTCTCCTCCCTGCGGACAGAGGGATCTTTTTGGAATGTGAATCTGATCATGTCCCTTGATTGTTAAAACTCTCTCATGATTTTCCATTTCTCTCAGGACAAAGATCAGTGCATTTAGCGTGGTCTGCAAGACCCATTGAGGCCCAGCCCCCACCTACCTCACCAGCCTACCTCTTGTTCTCAGTGTTCCAGTCACACTGCCCTTATTTCACCTGGTCCCTGCTACCACAGGGCCTTTGTATGTACCTGTTTCCTCTGCTGGAAATACTCTATCCTGTCCCTAACCCCACCTAGTTAACTTTTCACCTACTCAGAGAAGTCTTCCCTGACTAGAGCAGTCAAATGACCTTGTTATATGTGCTTATAGAATTGTGTTTCTCTCCTTTGTAGCTCTTTTCCCAGTTTTATTATTATAAACTTATCTATTTAATTGATCTATGTAAGTCTCCTCTATCACCCTGCAAGCTCCATAAGAGCAAGGACCAAGCTTATTTTGCTCACCGTGTATTCTCAGCACCTAGCACAATGTCATGTGAATATATATGTGTATATGAATATATGTTAGAAAAGTCTTCTGAGAGTGTAAAGTTTCTGTTGAGACACTGTGGAAGATGGAATAAATAATCCCACACTCTTAGGAACATTGGGCATTCTAAGAGGAAAGGAGCAGTCAGTATTTGGAAACAGATGGTCAACAACATCTGTTTAAAATGAGAATGAAGAAGAATTAGAATATTCTTATATTGGGCTAAGAAATAATTAATTTTTATGTAATGAAACTGTAGCAGTTGACAGGCACAGAAAGCACAATTTGGTTTGTATCCTAGCACAAGTCAAATCACATTATTGATGATGTTTAAGAAATAAAAGAAAAACCAAGAAATTCTCTGGACACTTCTAAACTCCACAGACCACAGGGAACTAGGCAGGCTGCTTAGCCTCAGAAAAATATTTATAGAGGTAGATATCGAAGCCTGTGTAAAGTCTTTGCTTAAAAGGGAAAACTGCTCTCAGCATTGATTTGTGTTGAATCTCAGTAATTAGAGTTTTTCTTTCCAATATTTTGTGATCCTAACGTTGTAAATGTCTTGTAAAGCTGCAGAATACTGAAAAGGATATTTAAAGTTTTTCATAATAATTTGGTTTCCTATTTTTAAAAATATTATGATAATGCCTACATTACAAACAAGCACACACTCAGAAATGGCAAAAATGAAGCTATATGGGGACACCAACTATTCAGGTTCCCCTGGTTCTGTCTTAATAACAGTGTCACAGCTTCCAAATAGGCTTGGATTTATTCTGTATTCTGAGAACAAGCTTGGGTATAATCGTGTTCTTTTATAAAAAAGATTTATTCTGTTTCTGATATAGAGTAGGAAGAGAAGAAATTTAAGCCCAGAACCTAGATTTGATCCAGTGTTCCGTTCTCTTGGCTTACCTTTATCAGCAAGGCCACTACAAAGTCAAAAAAACTGAGCTAAGTGTTATAATGCTGACCTCTAAATACTTCACTGTCATTTGTAAGGCTGTTGTGTCTTAAACAGGCGGTACTTTGGAGAGAAGATCGGGTTGTATTTTGCCTGGTTGGGCTGGTACACCGGCATGCTCTTCCCGGCCGCCTTCATTGGATTGTTTGTCTTTTTGTATGGAGTCATGACTCTGGATCACTGCCAAGTCAGGTACGGGGAGCTCTAAGCAAGCCTGCCTTCGCCTGTATTTAAAGATGGCTGATTGTGCTTTGGGGGTGTTCACAGACTGTGGGCCCACTGAGCTTTTCCTTCTAACTTCCTTCCCAGTCTCTTCTGGAAAAATTCAAAAGCTTCAGTTCACTAGGTCTCTTTATTGATTGCCCTTGCTACTGTGGTCTTCAGCTACCAAGGAAGCAAAGTTTGCATTTGTGGACACATAAGCCACAATATGTCCACAGAACAGATCCCCTTCATTCATTGATTTAAAGTTATTCTTTCTGATTTTTTTCACCATTTTTCATTCTGCTAATACTGCAGAATAGTGAGTTAACAATCATTTTGTGTGAATTCTGCATTTTTACAAGGACCCTTTAAACCTAAACCAGAGAGATATCTCACGGACTTTCTGAGTTCTTGAGAATGATTCGGTGTTAATGATTGTTATCTTGGCTTTAGAGAGTTTAAGGTATTCATGGAGATCTTATTGCAGGGCCGGACAGTGCTTTTAAATAATGTGCCTTTTAGAAGTGATTGCAAAAATAAAAGTGATTGATATAGATCTTCTAGCCTACCAAAGTATTTTACTTTCTGGTGAAATTGTTAATGAGTTATAACTCTCTCCCGGAACTAATCCCTAGTATTTTTATTTATTCCTCCATTATTAGTTTTAACTTACCATGCACACAGAAATCGAGGCAGGCACTTTTAGGTATCTCATTGTTCGCATAATTCAGTATGACATTGATTCAAACCTGTGCAGTGTTGTGAATGCCTTTTGTATAATTTGGGGTATAAGAACCAATGTTTTGCTTCATATATTCTTCTGAGTTTAACTTATTAATAGGTATAGTCCAAGAAACTACCTCATAAATAAGTAGGTTATCAAATTATTAAATTATGCAAGAACTTGTTTATAGTAATAGCAAATAAGGCTAAGAAGCTTTGGAGGACAAAAATGAAATCTACTGGATCTTATTTACTGGTTCAATATTCTGTTGAAATTTGAGGAGGATAATGCTCTTATGTCATCAAAAAGCGGTCCTTTTTCTGTTCTCTTTTCCAGTAAAGAAGTCTGCCAAGCTACAGATATCATCATGTGTCCTGTATGCGATAAATACTGTCCATTCATGAAGCTGTCAGATAGCTGTGTTTATGCCAAGGTAATTTCAGATATTTAGTATTTTAGGTGGGTTGAATTTTACATACACTTTCCTGAGGAAGAGAGGCTAACTATGTTCTCTCTGTCATCTCTGGTCTTTGATTCTCAAGTTTATGTAATAATAAGAGAGACTGACCTCAGTCATTCAGGATTCTAATTACAATGTCATTTTTTACCATATATATATTTTAAATGTATTGGATCTAATTATCACAAGAAGCTGCAGCATGCACAGTGCAAAAAGCACAGTCGTTAGAGTCAGAAAGAAGCTTCAATCTTAACTCTGCTCTTTACCGCTTATTAGTCCGGGAACAATTCATTTAACCTCCCTGAGCCTCAGTTTTCTCATTCCTAAAATGGAGAACATGATATTTGTTTCATATGATTGTTATAAGAAATGAGATAAGGTGTATACTGAGCAAAGTGTTTGGCAAATAGTAAGGTCTCAGTAAATGAGAGCCACAATCTTTTTTCTCCTCCTCATCATTATTGTCAAAAAGACTTAGATTCAGGGCTAGTTTAGCTACTTACCTCCTTGACTCTGTGCAGGCACAGCCTCTTCGAGGCTGAACTTTCTCATCTCTAAAATGTAGGCTGTGATACCTGCCCCCTCTGCCCCATGGCATGTCGTGAGGACCAAAAATCTAGTATATGCGAAAGTGCTTTGAAAAAAAAAAAAAAAACACGTAGGACCGTTATGTCTATGATATGCTATTGTGTGCCCCTTTCTCACGTTATGCCTTTATTAAAACCTTAGACATGTTCATCAAATTCTTATGGTTTTTTACTTAGTGGCAGCGTCACTATTGCAAAGCAATAGCTGGAGTATGGCCTGATGAAGACTTTTCCAAGACCCAGTGCCTATCAGCTTGCCCAGATTCTGGATCTGAAAGGGGTTGGTGGATTTTACTGAACCTCCATGACCACTGCAGTTTGGATATATCTAATTATACTCTCAGCATTGCAGAGTTTTTTTTTTTTTTTTATTTTAAATGAGAGAACATTTGATAGGCAGCCCAGGAGCCTGCAGATCTATGATGCCTTTAGCACTGCAGGTGGCCAATCTACGTGGGTGTAGCCTAAACTACAGCAAGCCAGCTGTGATTATAAAAAGATTTGGGCTCTTAGAATGTGCCGGAAGGAAACAAAAAAAAACAAAAACAAAATACTCTCCCTACCTTTGGAGAACATACAAATAGACCTGAGTAAATGAGGACAAATTTAACAGAGTGAGCTAGGAAAATATAGATTTGGTGAGGATCGAAAGAGTTTTGTCAGTAATACAGTTTTTGTTTAGAGATCGTGAGTTAAGCCTGAAAGATTTGGGTACAAAAATCCTGCTTTTTGGGAATCTCATAAGCCCAGTTTGTTGTTGTAGTTTGGGTGGTATTTGTTTGTTTATTTTTTACATGCAAAGACATGCCTTGAGTGAAGTTCTCTCTTTAGAAGATCCAAGATAATTCCTTAAAACAATCATCCTAGATAGTTCAGAGTGTTCAGATTTTATAGGGTCTTCTCGGTTATCCTACTGAATATAAGGTCTAGCACAACAGTAATTATAATCATAGCTTGGCTATAGCTAGGCAACCTACACTTATTATTTCTAATTCTAATAGCAACTTCAAGCTAGATGTTATTCCCATTTTACTCAGAGGTGTAAACATTACCACTCATTCATAGTCTCACAGCCGTAAATATCTGGGCCTCAGTTTACCTGGCTGCAGAACGTGTCATTGTGCCATACTGTATCACAGGATGTTTAGATTCTGGATTTTATGATTGGTCTTGCCTAGAAACTTAGTAAAATGAAGGCTAAAAAGCCTTACAATGACAAAACTGAAGTTATGCAGAGTTTCATTTTAAAAATTGACTTAGAAATGCCAGATTGATTTCATGGGACTGAGGATACATAGGAATCAAATTGGAGCCCAGATACAATTTAATCAATGCCTGTTCTGCTGATCAGGCATGTTTTTATCCCTGACCCTCAGACATCCAACTCTGACTGACTTAAGCAAAAAGGGACTTACTGATTCATTTTGCTGGAAAAGACACTGGAGTAGCTCATACTAAGTACCAGGGCTTCATGGCCTAGAATCGATCCTCCAGGCCCCAGGTGTCTCTCTAGCCACCTGTCTACATGATCATTCTGCAGACAAGTTCTCTTCATATAATGGGCAAGGTGGCTGCGGGCTGCCATAGCTCCCAGTTTACATATTCATTCCTTTAGCTACTTAAGCAGATTTTAATGCATATTTTAAATTCTTAGTCTGCTGTTACAGAATGTGTCTTTCAGAAGGTATATGTTGCCTCATTTGGAATTTGGGGGGGAAACAGCTGCCTTTCCCAGATAGTCTGTTGTTTTGGCCTGTATATGCTTGTCACTGGCAGTATCAACCACTTTGGGTGAGGGTCAGAGCTAGGTTCCAGGCTGTCAGTCTGGATAAGTTTATAGGGAAGAGATGATAACATGTCCCAGGTATCACTGTATGCTTCCACTCTTCCAGAGTGGGGTCCCCAATCCCTGGGCCATGGGCTGGTACCAGTCCGGAACCAGGCTGCGAGGGAAGCTTCATTTGTATTTGCAGCTACTCCCCAGCACTAGCATCACCGCTTCAGCTCCACCTCAGATTATCAGGCATTAGATTCTCATAGGAGCACTAGTCACTGGTGCCAGGAAGTTTGGGTACCTCTGTTCCAGAAGACTTTTCTAGTGGGAGTTGTATTTTTAAGCCTGCTTAGAGCAAAGGAGAATTGGGAGGAGGCACTCTCCCTTGGTTATAATCCTCCAGCCCTGGAGTTTAAGAGGGAATGCACTGAGAAGTGACTGCCTGAGGGCAGCTGGCCAGGCAGCACCTACTTTCATCATCTCCTCAAGCAAGCAGGACTCTCAGCATCCTGATATTACCCCAAGAATGCCAGCACTTGTGGTTCGGCCTATTGCAGCTAATTTCTGAAAGAGGGGAAATTAATTGTCCAATGACTCTTGAGGGAGAGGTTGGAGTAGAATTTATGTATTTCTCTAACCTTTGCTCTCATTCTGCTTGGGAACTGCTGTCTGACTCTCCCCACATACCACCACTACCACCCACCATCTTTCTCCCTTCCTCTCTCCACCACCCCTCAGCCCACACACCAAGTCAAGGTGATCTTCCATCTGCCCTGGGGTTCCCTGGTCTTTGTTTGTTTTTGTGTTTTGTTAGTTTCTGAAATTTGCTATCTTGCTTCTCCAGGGTTGGTTTGGACAGAGGGAGCCGTCAGCCTATGCTAGCTTACCATCTTAGCAGGAACCAGAAGTCCCAGTTAACTCACCCCTCCTGATTCACATATTCCCAAATTAATAACTGCAGCAGAAGAATGTCTCTCTCTAAATACCAGTCCCATAAAAGAACTCTGATTCTATTTGAGCCATGTGCCCCCTAGCGACCTGCATGAGAGAGATCTGTTACCTAGAGAAGGGAGAAGAAAGGAAAGATGATCTGATCAGCCAAAAACCATGACAACCACAATCCATTCCAGAATATACTCTAGTGGTTCAGGCCACAGCTGCTGCTGCTGCTGCTTCTTTTTTTTTTTTTTTTTTTTTTGGTGGCACATCTTGTCTTTTTTTTTTTTTTTTTTTTTAGGCGAGGCAACTCTAGGTTGACCTCACAGATTGCAAGGACCTTCTCAGCTTACAATCCCTTATTTTTTTATTTTTTAAAAATTTTTTACACCTACAGCACCTGGTCCTCCTACGTGGTCTCCCATCCAAGTACTAACTAGGCCCGACCCTGCTTAGCTTCCGAGATCAGATGGGATCGTGCTTGTTCAGGGTGGCATGGCCATAGACCAGGCTACAGCTTCTTAACCAGTCTCAGAAAATACCCTAATAGAGAACACACACCAGAACTCTCAGGCTTGGTTTGATGCAGAGTGCTCCCATATACACCTTTAATAAAATAAATCAACTTTAGACTTTTGTCTCACATTAGATGTTCGAATGATGCCCATCTTTCCTATGTTCAAAAAAAAGAGAAGGTATAAACTTCTGAAAATTTTTGAAATGCTTCACGCTCTGATGTAACAGGAAAAGACCTGTTTATGCTTGGCACATTCTCCAAGGGACGGTAAAGTATACTTTATAGAGAGCTATAAAGCACCTCCAAAATGTTATGCTTTATGAACGTCTCTGTCATCATTTCAATTTGGCATGATATCAGTGGTTTATCCTGGAGATGGAAATGAGCTTGGCAGTTTTGCAGCATTCTTTGTAGCAGAAAGAATATTTTTTTGCTTTCTGCTGTGGTGTTTGTGATAGAATATATTATTCTAACAATAAAGTATTTGCTAGCTATCTTTGTGTTATGTGTAATAGGTAAATATAGTGATTACCTGAGGCTTTAGAACAGGTGGAAGTGGATTTTGTTTGTGGTCTGCTCCCTCCTTTTTATGATCCTGAAAGCCAGAGAGCAGCCCAGAAATCATTTGCTCAGAATTACACAAATAAAACAGCCATGTTTTCAAAGTGAATCAATGAGGCATTAAAAACAGTGCTTGGGAAATCAGAAACCTTTAAAGCAGCAACAGTCATACTTTCCTGGTCTTAAATATATCTACATACATATGTGCACGTATAATAGTTTTTATAGGACATGAAAGGAAATTCTTAGTTGCACTATTGAGACTGATGATAAATGTTCAGCTAGGTGCTACCCACGTAAAGGGAACAGATTCTCTCCTCCATATCCAAACAGCTTCCCAGTTAGAGGAAATCTCTTCTTATTATGATCCAAAAGGAATATCTTCCAAAGAAACCCTGCAAAATTCATCACATCATCAGCTAATTTTATAGAACCTGAAAAAATAATGAATTGGAATACAGTAGGTAAGAAGTTAGTTTAACTATGATTCATAATGTTTCCAGGTTACCCACCTTTTTGACAATGGAGCAACTGTCTTCTTTGCTGTTTTCATGGCAGTCTGGGGTAAGTGTTCTACTTCCATATAACTTGAGTTTCCTTCGTGCTCTATGATTTGTTCCTTTAGAAATCTGACTGTGGACGTGAAAGGAAGAAGCTTGAGTAAATTCATTTGCTTGTTCTATTAGATATGAGCTAAAAAATAATTCAGTTGGTTTATTTAAAAAGTGATATTATAGAGGAGAAACATGTCTGATTTCTCTTAAACCTTCAATTTCATCAGCATTCCATTTATTAGAGTAAAAATTCACCGTCTGCTGGAGGCAAAAGTAAAGCTTATAGTACATCAAAAGGTCTGTTGAGACTTGAATAACCATCTCGGTAATAAATAGGACTTTCTCCTGTGAATGGGATCTTTTCATCAGACTAATGTATGAGTATCATCTCTGGATTTTGTCCAGTTCTGCTTAAAATGACCCCCTATAAACAAGAGCTACATGCAAGACTGAATCGAATTCTTCTGTATAATAAGTTCAAGCCAACAGTCCCATAATAACAAGGTGTGATGGGACATTCACTTAAAGAATTACTTAACCCAAAGAAGTCATTTAACCTGCTTCTTTGCAAAATAGATTTAATAGTATCTTCTGAATCAAATCGGTATGAAGCTTAATTTAATAGTATAGAAAAGAGTCTGGACATTCATAGTGAATAATGAATGGCAGTTACTTTTGGAGAAAAGAATTTGTGGAAGGGTAAGTAAACAGTGATAAGAGACAGACTTTTTTACACTATTTATTTGCAGTTTGATTTGAGATTTTTAACAATGATTATGAATTTTTTTCTAGAACTTAAAAGACCAAAATCTAAATTTTTGTTGGTACTCTACTAACTCAAGGGTTAGGCCCATGTTGTTCCTTCTGCCTGGCATAAGTATCAGAATCTTCGTTATATTTTAGGGCTTAAGTAAAATGTCATCTGCTCCAGCCAGAAGATGTCTTCCTCCTGTGAACTTTCATAGCATTTGGTTATCGTTCTGTGGACACTTATATGCATATACAACTTATCTCCCCTAGGAGGTTTGTGGTCCTCAGGGATCACTGTGGTCACTGGAGACCTCATGTGTTTATTTTAAAGACAGATTCATATTTGTTGGATGGGTGGGTGGATGGATGGAAAAAATAGAGAAGCGAAAGAGAAGGAAATTACCAAAAAGATTTCTCTATAAGATGATGAATGTGTTTAAATGGTCAGTTTGAGGAGTGGAAATGTACAACCTTGCTCTCTAGAGGAGGCTTGTTGTAAATATATTATGTCTTCCCTACCTAGAGATCTTCAAAGGAAAATTGTCACACCCATCACAGCTCTGGTAAAGGGACATATCTTGAATTCTGTGACTACAGCCCCTTTCAGCCAGTGGACATTTGACCCAAGATCAGTCAAACCGTAGGTTAGTGAGTGACCTGGAGAAGTCTCTGCACGAACAGAGGCTGTCAGGGCCACCCAGAGTCTTATTCTCAAGAATTTGGATTGGGCAATGGGGGTAGAGACAGGGAGTTAGTAGTAGAAATTGACACAGACAGATTCAGAGAGGGCAGGAGGGAACAAGAGAGGGAGAGACTGAGATTGACTATCAGGTAGAAGTAGGGACCAGGAAGAATTATTAGAAGGCAAAAATTATGACAAATCAGAATGTAGAGATAAGCAGGAGCAAATAACTAGTGGGAAAGATATAGGGTAGAGGCTGCAGAATCCAACTGTTAGTCACCCGAAGGAAAATGCAAGACATTTCCCCAAAGAGAAACAGAGAGATTAGTGGGGATCAGTGTGAAGATCTAGTAGGTCTCTTGTGGCTGAGATGTCTCAAGCTGCTGGCTTCCATTTCCTGCCGCTGAGTAGGCCTAGCCTGGAATTCCATTGAGATTCCTGCTTCCCTTGGTGGGCCTTGTGGAAAGCCTCACTACTAGTGCATTTCGGTCCCTTGCAAACAAAAGAAGCTAATCAGTAACAGAATTTTGGCTACTGGACTGAGCTTTCAGGTCAGGAATGTGTATTTGCTTTTTCTAGACCAGATGAGTATCGATAATTATGATCAGGAAGTATAATAACCTCTCCAGTGCTTAAGCTTTGCCATGGTTACAAATGTATTCATTTCTTAAACCAGTGGTTCCCAAACCTTTTCAAGTCCTAGCACACAGAAATGATATTCGCACAGTATACCAATGCCCATGGAGGAGGCTGCCTGTGGCCTGGGAGGCTGCTCGTGGCCCGGGCACTAAGTACCCTACCCCTAGCCAACTCAAGGGCTGAAGGAGTTGTTATCTCTTGCAGACCTATAGTCCATTCCTGTCATACCCATTGGCAAGCTCTGCTTTGGGCTACTAGTCTGCTGTGAAATGAGTTAATGCTTCTATATAGAGAGTTGTATTCTGGAAGAATTACTATAAAAAACTCCCCTACCCACATCATTATTTCACCCATTTTAGATATCCTTTGACTGAAATAATGTTTTCTTCTCCCACAGTTCTCCCTCCCCTCCGAGACTATATATAGAAGTAAAATTCTGATATGATGATATTTGTCTGCTAGGCAGAGGCTGTCATCTCTTCCACTCCTCACTCAGTATCACCATTACAGAGGGGATTGCATCCCTTCCTTGCAAATTGGAATGTCTTATGCTGAGCATAATAAATAGGTTTTATTTTATTCCTGCCAACCTCAACTGATTGGTGATAGCTGCCTGGAGGATGGAGTTGAGAAGTCTGAGGTTGCAAGTAGGTGGATTGGAAATTTGACAGTTGTGCCTTGGAGGGTACTCAGTAAAAATCTGATAGATGTTTTATAATAACCTTTGGGCACAAAGGAACATTTTAGGCTCACTCCAGGCAACCCAAGCATGGAATCATTCATCCTCTGAATTGCTTTGTTTTAGTTGACAAATTATTGCTTAAATCTTATATTGTTCCCAGAAAAAGAATGATTTACCCCAGGTGTTTCTTTGTAGATAGGGCTGTGCCTTTTTGCAGAAGTCTGGAATGGCCAGTTATAATAACAGTTATAATAATACACTAATTGAGGGATTACTATATGCTGGACACTGTCCTAAGCATCGTACAGTATCATCTCAGTTAATCTTTATAGCAGTCTTTGAGGAAAGTACTAGTCCTGCTATTATCTTCACATGCTAGACGAGGACACTGAGGCACTAGCAAGAAAGTGGCAAAGCCCAGAGTTAAACTGGCAAGTCTTGGCTCCTACACTTTACTCCTAGGATCATGTACTGTTTATAACCCTGCTTGCTTCTGCTGCAGAGATCTGAACTTTCAGACAAAGGGCTGTTACGCTCATCCTGAGCGCCATTAGATACCCTTTGTGATGGTGATGTTCGACAAAAGCTCATCTGATGGGGCCTAGTTTCATGGCCTTGGGATCATCCTTTTTGATTGACAAGTGACGACATTTAAGAAAACAAATAAACTTTATTTTTGAGAAATTGCTAGATACGGAGATGTCGAGAATAGATGTAAGTGGTTTACAAGACTTCCGAAGAGCCGGGTTGATGTATTTGTTGTTGCCTTTTGCTTCCTGTGCTCACCAGACCGAGAAACAATGAGGCTCCATTTGGAACCAGTCTTAGCAGCCGGTTAGGGCCTCAGTGTGGAGTTAGAAAACTGTCAAAACTCTACTACCTTTGTTCACGGTCACACAGCTGTGATAGCAGAGTCTCTTGGGTACCCTAGAGGCATCCACTGAACCTTGGGCTCTGGGCTTGAGCCACAGCGTGGCTCTTTTCTCAGTGCTCATTTTTATTCGGAAAGATTCAAGGGACAAAACAGTTATGGCCTAAATTAGCTTCTCTCCCTAGGAAAAAAAAAAATGAGTCATTAGGGGGTTAGATGTTGGCAGAGAATTGTCAGCAAGAGGATTATCTCTCTCTGTTGTTCATTTTTTTCTTTTTTCTCTCCTCCCTTTGTTTTTTTCCAACTTTCAGTGTTGCCAAAATTAAATTATCCCCAGTAAACAAACTAATCGAGATTCTCAGAGCTCTCCCATCAAATAACAAGATTGTGGTTATTTTAATGCAAATTCAAAGATTCTGTATATGGTCTTGTCAGTAATTTGTAAATGAAGTATGTCTCGTTTTCTGAATATAAATTTTATAATAATTGGCCTTTTATTTCTAGATATTTACACTAATTTTATCTTTTATAATATTTATGTGTTCAACAAAAAATGGTAATTGTATATTCAAAAGAAGAAAAGGTATATATTTATTCAATGCCCATTGGGTGTGTAGGTGCAGTCACACATGATGCCTCCTCATCAGTTTCCTAAGGGTGCCGTAACAAAATACCACAAACTGGGTAGCTTGAAACAACAGAAATTTATTCTTTTACAGTTCTGGAGGCTAGGTCCAAAAAAATCAATGTGTCAGCAAGGGTTGGTTCCTTTGGAGGGCTCTGAGGAGGAATCTGTTTCCTGCCCTTCTGCTAGCTTTTTGCGACAGCCAGCGATCCTTAGCATTCCTTGGCTTGTAGATGCATCGCTCCAGTTTCTGCCTCCATCTTCACCTGCATTCTCCCTGTGTCTATATCTTCACATGCTGCGTACCACAGGACATTTGTACCACAGCAGAGAATCATGGCTTCAACCTGCAGGCAACAGAAAGCCCACTGAAGTTAGAAGCTGGCGAGTGACATCATCAGTTGTGTTTGGGAAATAACTATGGCAACAGTGTTCAGAGGGGTGAAAGTGGAGACCAGTACGTAGCAGGTAGCCGCTTAGAAGGCTGTTCTAGTGTTTAGTCAAAATATTATGCAGATTGGACTTCAGGAAAAAATCCAAATTACAGGGGAAAAAAACCTTGTGCTTAACTACGTTTTCCTTGCTTTAGTTATTTATAACAGGCAAAAATTGGGACTAACCTAAATAACAATAGGAGAATGGTTAAAGAAATTATATGCAGCCATTAAAAATTAGACTTTCGAAGCACATGATAACACACAGCTTGTATTTAAATATTTGTTAAATGTAGGATATAAAGTATACAAGTAAAGTATGGTTTC